CCTCCTGTTTATGTATTTAGTGGGCATGGTGTTCTGTGGTGTTAATATCTGGAATGTCCCTTGGGCCACTTCAGGTCACCTGTCCCATCTAAGCTCCCTCCCGTTTTTTTTTAATAAACCTCCTCCAGCTACTGGCAAAACATGAGACACACACATATACACAAAAGGTCCTTGACTTAGGATAAACATGACTTAGCAAAGCCCAAACCATCCTCATTCTGTGTCCAAAACCAACACTATACCAGCTACTGAGAAGAAATTAACTCTACATCAGGTGAAACCTAGGTACTCATTCAGCAGACCTGAAAATTTGTACTGCTGGAGATGATTGAAAATCTGAATATTCTCTAGCAATTTGTGGTTATTGAAGCCTCTTCTAATATTAAGAGATTCATAAATGTATCAAGAGAGGTTACACTGAATTAAAAATGATTGGAGTTGGAGATTCAAGGTTCCTGTCTAGAAAAGATCAACTATTGACATATGTTATTAAATAAAGAAAAAGGAAATGTAAAAAATGAAAATGCTTGAAAAGCTTCCGGAGGTGAACAAAGGCAGGGCAGTGGAAATTGGAAGGGAAATCTCCTGCAGGGACCCAGGTGGGTGGAGGGGATCACCAGATGTGTCCCCTTGGGCTCAGGTGCCACAGGAGCAGAGCAGGAGCACCTGGTATCAAACCCTTTGGGGCAGTGGGGGGAAGAGAGAGCTCCTTTGTTTCCCAAGCACTGGCTACATCTGGGTGAGAATTTGGCAGTGCTCAGATGTTTGTGCTGCTGCAATCTGGAAAGAGTGAATTGGCCATAGCTCTGGCTCTGTGACTCAACCACAGCACTCCCCTCTGCTCTCTGGGCTGTCTAGCAGGTATAATGAGACCTTTTGGGATAGTGTTTCCAGCTCTGATGTTTCCAACACTGCTCCCATCGCTCTCTGGAGTTTGGAGATTGCTTACGTTGAATCTTGAATTTCTGGGCATTTATTCCTTTAGCAATTGTGGCACCTGCAACCTAAAATACTGCCTCAGACATAAAAAGAGCAGAAGAGAAAAACCCAACTTCTTGAGAGGTTTCCCAGCTCCTATTTTCTCCAGACTGAAATGAAAAGGCTGTATGAGGCAGGTAAATGTCAAAAAACCATTTGGGTTGGTTTTGGTGAGACATCTAAATTATCTATTGTTATTACACAAAGAAAAAGTTCTCAGTGTAGGAGTATCAGGTTCATTATGTCAACCACAAAAGAGACAGGATTTATTATTTTCAATAAACTCCAGTAAAAAATGCAATGATCTTTAGCTTTACAAAACTTAAAGGGGAAAAAAGTTATCTGCTCCTGTGTTTTTTTCAGATTCTACTTCTGTATTTATTTAAATCCTGCTTATTACTGCTGAGAATTGAGTTGGCTGACCACATAGTCATATTTTTTTTATTGGTTTTGTGGCTGTTACAGAAAGCCTGTGCTCTGTATTGTATTGTATTCTGCTGTACTCAGGAGCATAAAATGTTATTGTAGAGAATCCTGTCTCAGGTCAGGCTGGTAGGTATGAGGCCATCTAGCTTGATTTCCTATTTGCTTATGAGAGGATCCCAACCAGTGAGTAAAACTCCAAGGATTTATGGGTGAAACCCTCTAATTCAGAACTTTGAATTGTTCAGAGGTCTTATTCCTCTACCCTTTTGGTGCTTCTATGAAGCTACATGCCACACACTGTGGTAGCTCTGAAGAGTTCCCTTTGTTCCCTGAGATCTTTTTCCTGTTGGTGGCTTAGGGATTCATAAAGAAGCAAGAGATCAATTGTCATATTCTTAGCTAGTCTTTCAATATTAGAAAGTCCTGGAGGATGTGGTTTAGTGTAGGCATTTACACACTTAAAAATGTGTTCTTGTGGGTCCTTGTACATGAAATATTTTGTGAATCTCACAAATTAGCAAGGAGGAAAGGAATTTTATATTCTGATTCCATAGGAGAAAAAAAAAAAAAAAAAGTGGGGAAGTGCATCTTTTTCATCTACTTGAGCCAATAACCTTGAGTCCAGGAGTTCAATATGATCTCAAGAATCAAGATGTGTTGAATATCTAAAAGCTCACAGCTACTGCTGTAGCTACTGTGCTGGAGCACAGGATCAGAAAACTGTTTACCATGATGATTCCAGCTATGGAAATTGTTCAGCATGGTTTCCTGTTTGTGTCTTGTTGATATGAACTTTTAAATCTTGAACTTCTGCGAGGACCTGCTTACCAGCTCCAATATTACTTTATCTTGCCAAAATTGGTGTTCCCAGGACAGTTTATTTTTCTTTCTTGATTGTTAAAATTGTATTTAAAAGAGAAAAGATGGACAGATTACAGGAGCTAGAAATTAATGAGGTAAATACATAGAAAAATTATTCTACAGGAGCAGACAAAATTTCTAGGCCAAGGGAGAGAAAGAGGGAGTGATGTTTACAAACTACGTTCCAGCACAAGGCTGGAAGGAATTGTGAGAAGGCAAGAACAAAGTTTGCCAACACTTCAGCTCACAGCAGGTAAGATAGAGTGAGCTGGCCTGGCAAGCAGCTATAGTGGCTGCATTTGCCATTTGTCAGAAATGAAACTACTTGCAAATAATGTGATCTTAAACCAAATTACTCTGTTTTGTAGCAGCACTATGGGCTTTAATTTTTAATCTTTTCCCCTGGGTTCTCTGCTATTAAAAACAACAACAAACAACATCTGTATATCCTTGTTCTCTTTCAAAAGACTACTGGGATGACTTGATGTCAATTTGCTGCAGTAGAAAAGTAGGAGGAGAAATGGATTACTGGTAGTAGATGACTGTCAGCCATCTGGAGAGATTTTGTGGTAAAATGTGTGATTTGAGCACAGATGTGTGTTTGATCCTGTTCCAGTGCAGTGGCTGTCAGAAGAGACAGCCCTCAGGTCAAGGGAGTACCAATAGCTGTGGAAGGAAGAGCAGGTCCCATTGCCTTACCCTGTGGGCAGAGGCTAGGCTTTGGAAAGGTCTTTGATGTTATTAGACTATACAGTCAGGTCCCCAGAAAGTTGGAATTATTTCCTTCTCCAGAGAACAGTGTAAATTTTTCATCCTTTCCATGGACCTTGTTCCTCCCTGTGCTGCCCAGACCTCAGCTCTCAGCAGGATGTTGTTTCCACAGCTCTCCTTAGGTTCTCTCTCAGTCCTTGGCTTCTGGGTTCTGTTCAGTCTTTCTGGGGAAATCTCCTGCTTCTCAGCTCATTATTCTTACCAGATATCTTCTTCCTTGAGGATATTGCTGTAGTCCTCACCAGTAATGGAGGGAGTAAATTTAATCTGGTTTCACTAGAAGATGTTAAAGTTCAATAGGTGTTTTCCACTTTCCAACATGCTCTCCTCTTGGTTTCCAGAGCTTTCTCCATACATTGGGAGCAAAGGCTCCCTTTTGCTCCCAATGTATAAACCCCATCCTCCTCTAAATCATCGTTATGATCCTTTTGTTTATTAGAAAGTTAGTGTTGTAAATGTTTCAGCAGCCATAGGTGAGATATGGAGCTGTTCAAAATAGCTTGGTCAAGAAGGGAAGGGTTTATAACACTGTAAAGAAGTGTATATGCCTTTCCAAGACCTCAACAGCCTCTATTTCAGACCACAAAAATTCAGTGTACACAGATAATACTCTAGAGTAAATACTCTAGAGTAGGTTTGTTGACAATTTGCCTGCACACCAGCCTTTACTCTTGTGCACAAAGTGCATTTTGTTTTCAAAATCTGGATAGGGTTATATTTTAAATCATCTGTCTTAGCCCATGTACATTTTGACTCCTATGAGGCTGCTTATCTGACTAGTGAGTTACTGTTGAATATTCAACACAAAGCCAGTCTAATAAGTCCCACCACTATTGTGAACCTGACAAGGAGAAATGTTATGCAAATATTCTGTTGCTGAAGAAAACATTTCTAACAGATTAAATGTAGACAGATGAAGTATTCCTTTCATGTAATAATAGAAATTTGTTTTCCTTAGTGTGAGGAGAAAGCAAAAACAGTATTAAGGAGCTAAAAGTTATGCCCATTTCCTTTCTAGCATAGGATAGAATTAGTATTAATGTGTCTTTTACATTCAGCTGCTCCTCATGTGTTTTTGTGGTCCTAAATGTATATATGTGTGCACACAATCTTTTAGCTCTACCTGGAGAATGAAAAAAAAGTGTTTCTCTGCTGTGTCAGAGCAAGTATTCTCAGCTCTTAATCAAGCAGGGGCTGATTTTATCCTTCCTGGACATGTGCAGCTTGCTTTCCTTTGGAACTTGGTGTTTCTTGTTCTCTTGAGAAGATTAAGAAAGGAAAAAATACGACATTTTGAAACCATGTGCATTCAAATTTATGATCTCTTCTAATAGATTATTCAAAGAAATGGTTCACCTGAACGAGAGGCAGTTTGGTGTGGTTTGGCTGGGTAAAGCTTCATTTCATAGCTTTTGTGTCCTTCATTTCTTCAAAACTGAGATAAAAATCTCGTTTTCTGATACTTCTGTGTTTCGTTTTTTCACTTACCCTAAAGGAAAGACATGACCACCTGTTTTGTGAGGCACCCACCCCTTCCATTAAATACACGTTTGTTGAAGCAGAAAAGGGTTTGCTTTATGTTTAAATACATTTAGAGATTTTCTCTGCTTATTATTTTAATCAAGTCCCTGACTCAAGGAACTCAGCTTTTGGTTCTACACTAACAAGAGCTCCTTACAGCTCAGTGGATGGTACAGTGAATACTGCATCTCTCTCTAAATGTGGTATGCTAATAGAAAAGGCCACAGCATCCTTGAGGGGTGCTAGACACAAAGGTTCATCCAGAGATATTAGTACTTGTCAACACAAAAGCTCTACTGTACATTAAAGGAAAATAGCATTATAGAAAATAAGCAAGGTTCAGAGAAAAATCCGCTCAGCCCTCTAAACTTCTCATGTCATTACTGACTCCTGTCCTTTCTGTAATTTCTGAAATAACCTCTCTGTCAGGTTTTGTTTCAACCTTCATCCAGGTTTCCTGGCTGTGATATTTATTTCTGCAGGGGTAATGTTTCATCATTTCAATTTTCCATCAGTGGAGAGCTGTGCTCCTGGATTCTGTTTCCTAAAAGCTCTGCTTATTCAGCTTTCACAGCAGGTATGTACAATTATGAGTTCCAGGACAAGACAGATTGGTTCTCAAAAATGTGCTTTTAGGGCTTGAGCAGTGAGAAATCAGAGTTGTTTGGGTTTAGTCTGTGATTCTGCTACCTGACAGTAGACATTGCCAGATATATTTGATTTAGCTGATTGGCAGAAACCCTTCACCTTCAAGAGCCTTGTGTCATCTTCTGAATCATAGAATCATAGAGCCATCAAGGTTGGCAGAGACCTTTAAGATCATCCAGTCCAACCACAGATGTAGAATTCTTGTTTAGGAGTTCCTTCAGCAAAAACTTTACATTTATCTTTCTTGATTGATCTTTCTTATGTCAGAAGCAGAACTAAAAGATTTTTGAGGGTGACAGGTGAAACAAGAAGTCCTTCAAAAAAGTACCAGGCAAAGTTTCTGTCTGGAAACCTGTCTGTCCTCTGCCTGTCTTTGTGAGAGAGACAAGGATCTCCAGTGTGCCTTGGGCTAAAGTGGTCAGTGGCCAAGTATGTGATAGAAGCCATGAAACTGCACAGGGTTAAAAATCTGTGAGGTTTTTTAGTTAATCAGGGTTTTCTACTGACACTTCTCGACTTTGATAATCTGAGGCAATCTCAGCATTTCCTGAATACAGGAAGTGGTGAAACCCACCAATAAGCAGTCGCAGATCACAAAATTCCAGCACTTCATACAACTTGCAGAGGTCTCACTGTTTAAATTCCAGTTAGAAGATCTGAGAAGGTTCAAATTATCCTACTGTTTATAGTCCTGGCTCTTTCCTCATCAACTACCCACTGTCCCAAGTGACTGATGTTAAGAAATGACGTAGGTGAGCTCTCGGTTTGAGTGCTCATGAAGAAAAAGGTCCCTAATCCAGTCAGCCATGACATAAATATTTCCCTTGGTGTCAGAAGAAAAGGCCAAGGGGTTATTCATGCCCTTGGCCACCATTTCTGGCAAGGCTGTGTGTACAATAGACCATTTCAACAGGTGTGCCTGGCAGGTTTTGGGCTCCAGCTTGTTCCACCTTATATAGTGGAAAGGACCAATTATGCTGGGAGGAAAGCAGTGGGAGTGACACCAAGCTGCTCTCGTGTCTCTGGCAGCTGCTGTGGGAATCCTACAGAAAGCTGTCCCTGTGTGTGCAGAGCCATGCCTCTGGCTCCAGTGCAGAGGGGGGATGGTGGGTTCAGAGCTCCTCTGAGAGAAGCAGAGGTTCTAATTGATTGATGGCTGTCTGCCCCATGAACAATTTGTAGTAACAATTTTTTCACTCCTGCCCTGTTTTATCTCCTTTTTCTGGAAGGAAAACAATTGAGGAGGGGTGTCAAGGTCCATCCAGAGCTCCTGTTTTCCCCAGTTGCCTTAGAATCAGAGTGGAGGAGGCAGCTGAAACAGTCACCTGTAAAAACAGGTACAGAAAGGATCCTCCTTACATGGGTTTGCACTTTTAAGTGTGTCTTGTTAAGTTATCCCTGTTTTGTGTTTTATTTTCAATACTTGTATGATGGATTAATCAGTAATTTTATCCAGAGTACAGCTTGCCACACTTGTTCCCTCACACCACTCTCCAAGATATTTCTAAAGATATTTGTATTTATGACTTTTCCAGGCTCCAACAACGCAATACAAACATGTAAAAGGAGACTAAGCACAAAGTACATTTTAGCCAGTCAGCATGACATTTAGACCCCAAAGCTGGTGAAGAGCAGTAAGACCTGCAACCCACACAAAAAACCACAGAAAAAACAGTTGTATTTGCAAAGAAATGTAATTATTTGTATTGTTTTGATTTTTAATGGTATTCATGTAAAAATGATTCAGCTTCTCACAGCTAGACCTGGATGACATTTGCCCAAAGAACAATAAGTTTGTTCTTAAATTAAAAAAGGGGAGAGGGGAACAGGGAAAACAACATCATAAGAACTAAAAGTACTTGAGAAGCTGACTCATCTTTCAAGAGCTTAAGACAATATATGAATAAATGGTGAGATTTTTAAAATATTAAACCATGTCCCTCCCCTCACAATTAAAAACTCCTTTTGTTAGTGCTGATTTGGTTTGTGTGGTGTTTTGAAATTGAAATTTTGGGGGCTGGTTTGAAAATTATATTTTCTTCCATACTCTTTTTTGTAAGTGCACCTTCTGTGAACAAAAATCTGAAATAAGCAAAATGAGCTGACATAAAATATTACTTCTAACTTTTAGCTATGTCTCTTTATGCAAGAAAAAGCCTATTTGACTTGAACTTGTATTGACAATCAGAGAAACTGAAGGTTAGGAAAATCTCTGTATTTAAACTAAAAAATATCCTCAAAACTTGAATTCTGAGTTTCCAGATGTCAGTCAAATATTTAAACATTGGACCAATTTTCTCTCTATTATCAAAAAAAATTGGAAAAATAATAAAAAACTGATATCACTTAGAACCTCACTCTGTTTTAGTGTTGTATTTTGTATTTTAAAGGATTGCATTGGATAATCTTGTATTTAGCTAAAAATTAACTCAAGTTCTTATTTATCTGAAATCCTAGTCCCAGTGGCAAAAGAAATTAGTGTTAATGAGCACACCTCCAGATACTTTACCTGTCAAGGTCTGCAGACCATTAAATATTTGACATTTGAAGGTTCAGACTGGCACTTGCTGGGACTTTATAAGAAAATCCCACCATTAGACCCACTAACACCCTGAAAATCTATCTGGAGTTCTCCTGTGGGATCATGCTGGAAAATATAACTGCATGAGCAATTTTGTTGTTTTTTATTTGTTTTTTGGTTTTTTTTTAAATTTAATTCTATTTTCTGTGTCTGCTGATCTTACTGAAGGATTTTCTGTGCCATTTGACTGCACAATGTATAGATTCATGAGTATTTCTCCTTCCAAAGCTCAGTTTATCCAAACCCTTTAACAGTACAGTCACTGGATTTGCCTCCACATTTTTCCTTTCCTATCTTATTCCAGCCTATGTTTTTTGTTTATCTGGAATGGAGTGATTTTCCTGGGGCAGATAAGGAAAGGAAGTCAGTGAAGAAATTGTTTGCAGATACACAAGACTTAAGCATTCTAAACAGGTTATCAGCCTGAGCTGTTCTCAGCACTTTGGTGCCCTGCTCAAGGGATGTAAAAGGACGAGATGAATCCTTGCAGCCTGAACTCTTCCAAGTGCTTCTTCTCACTTTGTTTACTAAACCATGGGAAGGCCTGAAGGTGCCAGCAGACAGGAGAGAGCACTTCTCATCGAGTGTCTATTACTTTGTGCTCTCTGCACACCTCTCCTTAATAGACCTCAAGAGCTCTACTGCTGTAGAATGAAAATCACATCATTATATTGCTAAACCCTTCCTTTACCTGCAACGAGCTTTTGAGTCTTGCATCGTGATCCCTCGTAATTTTCCTACTTTTCCTCTGAAGGCCTTCTCATTGAAAGTTGTTTGTAGTGTATGGGAGGTTCTCTGCCACCCTCCTGATCTAAATGTCTGTTTATTTGCATTTGCACAACTCCCACATTAGTAAAGAGATTTCTAGGTAGGATGGCATCTCAAGTAGTGATGTGGGAGCAGATGCCTTGCAAGAAGCTAACAGAGGATGACTAATTAAAAGTTAAGGAGTAATGGTGAAGAGAGGCATCAAGAAACCAAGAGGTTTGTTTCCAACCTGCAGTTAAACACAGAGGGGGGAACAACTTGAAAAGATTTTCCTGAAACTCTAAAATTGCTCTATTTCTACAGAAATATTCTAAGAGTAAAAGAAATAATTCTACACGTGGAATGAGAATAGAGCAGTTGCTATGCCAGACTTCAGAGCCATCCAGTGTGGCTTCCCTTTGTCCCCAGAAATCCTGGGAAAATGAGGGAGTCTCTGGAGGAGACACACAAAACATGGGGTTTGTTACCTACAAACTAATAGATTGTCAATTAACCAAACAATTGTGGCTGAAACACTACAACACAACACTAAGATCTGAGGCTTTGTAGGTCACACAAAGACATTCACATCCAATGCAGGGAAGCAGATTTTGTGTTTGTTGATCCTGAGCTAATGGGCTGGCAGAAGGACAGGTCTGTATAACATCAATTCAATGCCAAATGAAAATACCTGTGGGGTTTCTGTATCCAAGTTGCTGAATGTGCACCATGAAAATAGACTTCATCCATATGGGTTTCCACTAAATGCCTTTTCTTCCCTGTTGTTTCCAGTGGTGAAATGTCAGCTAATAAAAGAAATCTTGCTGTTAGTCAGGAAGTATTGTAAGAGACTGATTTTTTCTACTTGCTTGAAATAGTATAATATATTTTCTTTACTGCATAAGTCTGTTTTTATATTCTTTGTAGTTGATCAATCCAGAAAAACAAAAAAAAACAAAACGATGAAAAGTAACTATATCTGCTGAGAGGAAAAAATAATTAAAATATTTAAGACATCTTATAAATAATTTTGTCTGGAACTGCAGGCATCACTGTAGAAAATTTCAGTAACAATCTGTAAAATGAAGTGCATTAGTTCCTTGTGTACCAAAGCGTATATTAGCGCTAGGGAGCAAAAGTGAAGTAAAAAATTTGCACAGCCTCAGGGAAAATCAAATTTTTGCATCTTCTGTGTGCTCTGATCTGTTAACTTACTTAATCACTAAATGTCTTCCTATTGATTTCACTGTGCTTTGTGTCAGTGCTTGAAAGTGATTTGAGGTTTTTGAAACTACCACAAGGATTTATTTGAGACGTTAAGCAGTCAAATCTATTATTCAGTTTTGACAGTGGCATGTTCCCACCCCCAAATGTCTTCTTCTCTATTCATTAATCTTCTTCCATGGTGTGTTATGTCTTCTTCTCTATTCATTAATCTTCTTCCATGGTGTGTTATGTGTGTGTGATTGAATGTACTTGTTGCTCTGTATGGGGGAGGTAAAGCTGAATGTGTAAGAGATGGGTTTACCTTTGGCAACACAGCAGAGCAGTGACAGATTTCACGTTGGATTTGAGCAGTGGGGCAGTGTCTGTGTCCTGGAGAGCTGGTCCACACACTGTGGAGTCTGCAGACATTTCCTGCTCTTCTAGATGGACTGAAATCATGGAAACAGGGGTGTCTCCACTCTTACTTCCAATCTTCTTGGCCAGTCTCACTTCCCCACAAATCCACCACACATCCATCTTGGAGGGAATCTGCAGGTACCTCAGTCGAGCAGGGACATCTTTAGAGACTCATATTTCTTTGCCAAGCACAGGGCTTCACCCCCTCCAATTGCATTTCCTGGAACACAGTTAGTTCTCTGGGACTTTCTTCAGCTGACTGTGACGTTGCATAACTGGGTTTTGTTGGTTTGGTGGTTTCTTTTTTTAATATTCCCATATTATAGAGAATAAATAAGAGAAAATAATAAGTTTAGGATAACTTTTACAAGGCAATTTACAAATATATGGGTAGCCAAATAATAGTCAGTGGAGTAAAATAATGTACTTTTTTTTATTTTGGCTAATATTACCATCAGAATTTTAATTATTTGAGTTCCCTCATGGCTTATAACAAGGCTGTAACACCTGTATTTACTCTAAGGTGGCTGCCCATCAAGGAAGACTTGATGAAAGTCTTGCTCATATAAATACTACTCTGTCAGTTTGTATTAAAATGGATCAAACAAGGCAAACCACATCCAGAAGCAGAAATGTGAGTGAGGTGTTCCCAGAAATACAATTATTTCTACAGTTACAGTGCTCATAAAAGTTCTCACTTCACTGAACTGTCTCTGCTAGTTTAATCCAGAGAGAAAGTCAACAGACTTTGTCAGGATTCCTGTGAAGGAAATCCTTAATGATCTGTTTATGTTTGTGCATGGAGCTTTCTGAAGAACACCAAATCTTCCCCCTTCCCTGTGAATCCTTGTTTTTCCTCCTGGCTGGTGGTGCTGAGTGCAGGATTGCTCTGCAGTCCTCAGCACAGGATGCTGGTACTATCCTATTAAATGGATGACCTCGTGTCATTTGCTGCTCCTCAGGTGTTCAACAAGTGTTTTCTGAAAGATAACCCCTGGAGCTCTTGAAATTCAGTAGTGGTATCAAATAATTAAGTGAAGGTCAGAGACAGTCCCTGCTACATCTAATTTGTAAGCAGCTCTTGAGGAGAAGCTGCACGTGGTGTACATTCTAATGGAGATCTCCATTTCACACCATATTATAGGAGTCCTTGGGGATAACAGTGGCAGAAGTTTAGGAAACTGTAAATACAGACTTCAGGCAGGTGCTTCTGTCAGTGTGCTTAATGTAAAGTGTATTATTGCTGAAGACTGCACTCAGGTACAAGCACATGTCGTGTTCCATTCAGGTTAGAAGCTGCAAGTTCAAACATTAGATGTAGCTGTCTGCAGAAAATCACTTTACAAACAGCAAGAGAGCATGTTCCATTTCAGGAGAAATGGTAGGGACCCTCCTCAGCTGGAAATCTTGTGCTAGACCCAAAAGAAGCCACGTTTGCAGTGAGCAGTTCTGCTCAGCTTCTAACTAAAATTCCTGAAAAATAAGACTTAAATCAATAAATTTAGATTACAGTGTTACCAAGCTGAAGAAAAAAAAAAAAAGAGGAATTTATAGTTAATATAGGAATGTTAGCCTGTTTGAGATCTCTCATAAGTTAGCATGATTCCAAAGTAGATTTTTCAGATACAAATTTTTGGTTTTATTTTCTTATGTTTATAAATAGGTGTCTTAAAATGTCCCTTGGGAAGCAAAATTTGAAAGCAAATATAA